GCTGGGCGCCAGGGGGGTACAGCGGATGATCAGGTGGTCTTCAGGGAAGGAGGCGCTGTGTGGGGTAATCAAGGTCTGATTGAGGGTGACGAGATACATACCTGGTACATGAAGAGAGGTCGGCGATGGTGTTGGCAGTCATGTACATTGGTCTTCGTGAGTCAAAGTGATCCTGTTGCGTGAACCAGCTGTAGGTAGGATAGTCTGGTCGAGTAGGCTGGGCGCTGAACGCCAGACAGAGCAGAGCGACTTTGGATACTGTGTTGGTGAGGCCTACTGGCTTGAACATTGGCTCATTACTTCATTGTATTGCTCTATATGGATGGTTTTCTCGGTGCATTTGTACTCTCTGCTTGGGACACGATTACTTGGTCAGCTGTGTGATTTCGCAACTTGGTTTTATGTATATCGCTCACACTCGTATTCCTTGCAATTTGGTATCGGAGCTGGTTGGTGATCACCGCTTACCTGGCACAGGCGACATTGTGACTTGGTGTGCTGACGATGCTTCATGTGCAGTAAGGATACTTTGGCGCTGGTTGATTAGAGGGGCCTAGGTGGAGAGGCCGGCCGCTGGAAGGCTGTGGCGACAGCGTGGGAGCTGTGGCGACAGCGGGTGTATGCATGATGATGAGAGTATGCTGACGTGGCATTTTGGCTGAGGTGGCACTGCATTGCATTGTGGGTGGTACCGAGGCTAATGACCGGTCATCGAAATGCACGTCAGCCCAATTGGTGAGAAATCTGTGGTTGGGGGCAGCTATCTCTAGGTACGTTGTTCCCATTCCTTACCTACCCTCTCAATCTCTTCTTACCGTGAGGAAGTGAGTCCAACTTGAGTGTCCTCTCTTTGGTGAGGAGTCGTGTGCGCTCTATCTTGAGAGACGGCATTCTTCCCGGTGGCGCATCCGGTAGGAGAGGGCGGTGCCTTTGAAGGGCCCTAGTCGAAGCACGGGTCACGGTCACCATGCCAACCCATGGGTATTAGTACACGCAGGCCATGCTGCTTTGTCCATTGAGGCTCTTTGCTGCGCTGACAGAAGGCGTGTGCGGACTGACCAGTCCTACGTAGACGCTCCCAGACCGTCTATAAACATTTCTGGTTGGGGTCTGAACTGTCCACTGGCTGTGATCGTCGTCCTGATTGCGACGTTAAAGAATTCCTGAGGACTCTCGGGGGCTGTCCTTAAATTGCCTCTTGATTAGCCAGATCAGTCAGACGTAAGGCTCGTTGCACGCGAGGGTAAATAAAGGGCAGGCTGGTCATAAGCATACTTCTTGGGCGCAGGGGTGGGCCGTGGTTGCACACCTTAGACACCGCAGCTTGAT